ACATTTAAAGCTACCACTTAAAAAATAAACTGGAAAGTAGGGAAGCCTAAAAAAAGATACATTCTGCTATCACACTATTATAAACACTGTAACTGGGTGTGTGAATATATAGAAAAAGGAGATAATCAAGATTTAAATAAGATGGCAAAAACCAGGAAATACAGATTTTACCAAAGAACTACAATAACTTTCCCAAGCTACAATTATAAACAGATTCACTAATATAGTAATTTGCCTAGGTTCTGGGAAAAAAAAAAAAAAAACCACCACCACCAAAAAACCCAAACAAAAAATAAAACACCCACAAAAATATCCACCCAAATCTATACTAGAGATAATAATTAATGTATTTCTATGGAAATTGGCTCATGCCTTATAAGCTCCTAAAGTAAAATCAAGGTCACTACATGACTAATGATAGCACTAGGGGGAAAAAAAAACCACTGAAGGTAAAAAACAGTCTTCAGCCTTGGTTTCAGTTAGCTCTTCAAATCAGCATTAAGTACTTAAATCAGGTACATAATTTTTGGCTTGTCAGACCAGTAAGACATGTTTTGCCACTGGCCAAAGGCAGCTGAAGAAACAACTACTTGAACAAACTAAATGCTGTGACAATGAAGCATTTGACTTCCAAGTCTAAACAGTTAAAATGATCAGTGACCATCTAACTGGGCAAAAGGAATGACATCCATCATCCAAACAGGCTCATTTCCCCAGGCCCCACAACGAACAGGAGTTATAGTAGCAAAAGAAACAAAAAAAACTTTTTTTTTTTATTCTTTAGGGCCAACTGAGAAAGAGGTCAGCAATATATTAACAGCAGCAATGAACAAGGAGGAGCAAAATAATGGATGAAAGCATCTTGCTGGACGTTTGTTCATCTTTTTCTGTATTAGCCAGGAAAATTTAACGGGCTTATTTGGAAATTTCAGGTATACATGTCTCATCTCCTTAAATCCTTCACAGATTTAGAATTCAGTCTACCTTAGGGCTCTATAACCATGTAAGAAAGCTTTTTTTATCTAGCTTGGTGGCATCCAAAACAGACTCCATGTCATTAAGGATGTCAGAACTCAAAGCTTCCTGCAGACTGGGCATTAGCTCCTCTCCTTCTATGTTCATTCCATCTCCTTCCAGTGTTCCAAGGTCCACATTTGTCCCAGGAATGGCTTCAAGATAGTCCGGGAAATGGTTCTGCTGTGAGGGCAGGGTGCTTCGGTTGATAGTATCACCTGTATCCATTTCATCAACGCTGTTTAGGAAGTCATCTGGAGTCCGAGGGACACTGTAGCTGCTCATGCTTAGCCCACTGTCTGTACTCTCATCTCGAGAGTGATAGGTGCCACTGTTAAGAAAGGGATCTGAGCTATTGGTCGTCATTGTTCTTAATTCCTGAGACATGCCGAGAGAAAACAATGGATTTTGAGTTCCACCATCCTGCTCCAGTGTTGGCAATTGACTACGAAGAGCTAATTCCTGACATTTTGGAGAATTTGCTGTGCTGGGATTGATATTCTGCATTGCCTGCTGAAGCAGCTCTTGCTGTTTCAACCGAAGTCTTTCCTTCTCCATCTAAAGTTGTTGGAGACGCATCTGTTGCTGTTGGTTGGAGTTGCTACCACCCACAACACCTTCCTGTGGGCTCTGGGAAGGCAAGGGTGGTGGCTGTTTTACTGGAGCACTTTGACTGATTCTCTGGCTCATGGCAAAACGAGTCAAGCCTTGGGTCTAGCCAAGAGGTGGTCTTGTTCTTATGGTTTATATAGTAAATTTCTCCATCCTGAGTTATGGCTTGTTCCCATCCATCAGGAAGAGGACCTGGGGCCGAGTTCATCAAATTCTGCTGCACTGGTGGATTGGTGGGGTCTGTAACGTTCATCTGAGAAAGCATGGCCTTCCGGGGGTCCTGCCATGTTGTTGTCTGGTCAATGTGATTTAAGAAGTATCTCTGACCAGAAGATGTCTTGGTCATCTCCCAGCCTGGTGGCAGAGGTACGTCATCAGGTATCTCAAAAGAAGCCTGGTGAAGATGTTGGGCAGCGGGTGTAGCTGCTGGGCCAGAGACTACTCCAGTGGGGGTCAATGTCCCAGGAGAAATGGCTCCCAGCTGCAAGGACGCTGGAGAAGAATGAGCTCCAACATGTTGTGGAGTCAGGGCTCCTGCAGTGCCTGCATCGGTACTGGCCTGTCGGGAGTGGGATTTGGGCTCCGGCGGCTTAAAGAAGGAGTCAGGCAGCTTCCGGAGCCTCATGGGCACGGTCTGGGGCACGCTGGCCGTCTTGGGGTTCATGACGGCATTGAAGAGCGCCTCCAGGTCGGTCTCCGAGTCCCCCTGGACGTGCACAATCTGGTGGCCGGCCGGGGCGGGGGGTGG